TCCTGTACTCAATGTCTTACTATCGACATTCGCGTGCAATTCACCATTAACTGATTCTTGACACACTGATTTTCCATTGATTGATGACCCACTCCGTTTTATAGCGCATGGTTGCTCCTAGAATCATCTACATAATTCACTTCTGTTCTTTTAGGCAGTGTTGTAAGACTGCACATTCTTCCCAATTAGAGAGATTTGTAACATTATCATTATCTTAAATCAGATTTTCCTTTTTTCTAATTAGTGTGATAACAGCATTGTTTTGCAATCGGCCCCGTCATATTAAAAAAGGCTTTGTTTTACAATATTCCTCTGTTGAAACTCAACCTCTCTTGGTTGCTTCAAGATGCCACCAGTGAACGAATTCATCCACTAGTCTAGACTATGGTATTAATTGTTATTTCTGGCATTCTAAATATGTCACAAGCGGAACCAACAAAGATGCGTCGCCCAAACTTTTTAAAAAGGAAACTAAAACTCTTTATATACAGGCAACAACTGGCTCTGTTTTCCGGCTTTTGGTAGTTAACGTAGTTCATTGGCGAGAGCTTATTTGTATAAAAATATTAAAATTAAGTGACATAATTTTGTTTGAATTGGACATGGATAGGTCAATGTACGGCAAGGTGACACCAGGAAATTTAAACCCATACGAGTGCACCATTAAGCATGGATCATTTGCACCTGGGTGTACCTAAGTAAATTCAATTTTTAGTATTTTTTAAATCGGATTTAATTTTGTTTTTTTTTTAAATAAATTTAATAAATGGATTTTTTTTACGTTCTAATTTATGTTGCCCCATTCCATTTTCATGCTTAATTAAAGGTGCTCACATCCTGTAGGAGCAGAGCTTGATTTAAAACTACTGAAAATTTCACGCAATATTAAATGCATTAACAGTAAACGACAATGTAGTTTGTTAGTTACGTTGTTGTATAGTAGGTGTGACTCAATTTGCTCCAATATCATGCAGTTTGAATAGTGTTATTGTTATTATTGTATTTTTATTGTGTGCTGCAGAAACTTGTGATAGGGAAAAAAGGGCATAATATTTCTCTTTCCAATTACTAAATGTTAGTCTTCAAATTTAATCGATGGAATTTGTTGTTGGTTTTAGGTAGGGTTGTGATTTCGACTGGTCAAAATGTTTTGTGGTCAATTGACCAGTCAATTGACCGGTCAATTGACTAAGGACCGGTCAAATTCTTGAGTATTGTCTAACGAAATGAAGGCATTATTAACTGCATATAAACGTGTATTTATTGGAAAAGAGCTAAAAAACAAATGAAGAAATTATTCTGGCACACAAAAGAGAAAAAAATGAAAATGCATAATGTTAATTTAATTAACAATAGCTAAATGACCCAAAAATGAAAATAAATAAATCCTTCTAAAGAAGAGAATAAACAAATATTCAAAACATAATGGTATTCTTGATCCAGAAATAAACCTAGAAATAAACAGTGCACAACCAATGACTGGCCAATGACGTCAATGTAGATAACGGCACATTATCCTCGTCACTGAACCCATCGTCTTCATGTTCTGCAGAATCGGCAGAATCGCCAATTTCATCTTCACTACTGAAATTGAGTGCCATCTCCTCCGGATTTCCACGTTTTTTATCTCCACCTCCACTCAACAGCTTCAAGTTGTACTTTATATAAACAAGCTTTTCAGAGCGGGTAGTTTTCAATCGGTTGCGGAGCTTACTATGGACAATGCCCCATGCGGACCAATTTCTCTCGCAAGAGGCTGCAGAAGGTGGCATACTCAACAACCTCACAGCGACATCTTTTAGTGAGCAATTCGGAAGCCAATTCTTCCACCAAGTAGCAGGCGTAACATGGGATGAATTTTTACATATAGAAGTAACACCCTTTGATGCGACCCAAATAATTGGTTTATCAAATACATTTTGACGTGTTCGGTAGTTGGTAATTTCCCCTATAACTTTGACATGGTCATCTTCTGAGGAAAGCTCAACTAAGAGAGCAATAGCGCGTTCAAGTTCCTCATGCGTCAAGTTTTCCCCTCTGTATCGTGGATCCAGCAGATAGGCCGCATTATGAGTGTCTGTACAGATCATTTCAATCCGTTTTTCAAAATTGTTCATAAGAGATGTTTCTTCGGCAATCAAAAACGGACTTTCCGACATTTGAGCAAAAAATGCATCTTTCAACTTATACACCTTGTGTCTCACGTCCGACAAAGTAGCATTTGTATTTTCCATGAACGTAATCAGGTTTACCACAGGGGAGAGCAGTTTTAAGAATTTCTCATTCCGATCCCAGAAGACATCATCGGATAAAATTGAACTCTTGATTTTGGCAGGTGCAATGATCTCCACATCAATGTTTATGATTGACTCTCTTAGCGATTGTTTGTTGACCTGAATGCTGTCCATACAAGCCACTGTACTTCCCCATCTTGTTTCTACAGGCATTTTCAACGATTTGCTGTTACCACATTGCTTCTCTTGCAGAACGGCATTTGGCACATGTTTTAGTTTAAAGAACTTCACTATTTGTTTACAACTGGCGACATGATCCTGAAGCGTCTTCAAGGACTCCATGTCCTTCATTAGCAAATTAAGCGTATGAGAGGTACATCCCATACATTGAAGACGTGGGTACCTCATCTTTAGTTCAGTCCAAGCTGCTCTCATGTTAGCCGCGTTATCTGTAACAACGGCGGTGATCTTGCTTTCACCTATCTCTTCAATAATTCTGCTGAGCTCTGAAGCAATATATGTCCCAGTGTGCTTTTGTGCTTTTGGCAACGAGAAGTCATAAAATAGGTCTCCTTTACTTGTGTGAACCATGTAGTTAATAATACCTTCATTTCGGATGTTCGACCAACCGTCACTCATGATCGAAACCATCGTTTCGCCGTCAATTTGTGATTTTACTTGGGCTTTTATTTTTTCATAGAACATATCTAGATGAGTAGTTGACATCTGTTTTCTACTAGGAACTTTGAAAGTCGGCCTGCATAAGTCGAAGAACTTTTTCCAATGTTCGCTTTCGAACATGGAGAGGGCACAATTTGACGAATATACTGCATTACAGAAATATTCGGTCAATTCCGACTGTTGGTCTGGGTTTATATGATCAAAAAAATTATTCAGTTTTTGATTCTTCAATTTTCTTTGTCCTGATGAGCCAGCAATAGCTTCACCAAATGGATTGGATCGCTTTTTCTTGATATGCTCTCCAACAACTATTATTGGTTCTTCTTCATCATGATCTCTGTCGCTATCGCTGTCGCTACCTTCTTCATCATGACGGGCCACCTAAAAGATACACATTTATTTAGTATAATATCAATTTTTGTTAGGTAGAATGTTCAATTAACGAAGGACTCACATTTTTGTATTTTTGTTTGTCGCTTTCGGGGATTCTCTTGCACTGTTTCAGAATGTGCCTCTGCATTCTATCAACATGTGTGACATATGTAGCCTTACAGTAATTACATATTCCTTTCACCTTGTTTTCCTCTCTAATTTCAGTGAAACAATCCCATATTTTGTGTCGCGGTTTCGTCACCTTCTGTCTGGAGCTCATATTGAAGATTAGCACTCTAGGAGCGGTTACTTTCAAGAACTCTGAAAGTTCAAATAGCAATTATAGCTTCTTACATGTATAAGTAAGCGAATATAATAATTTTTATTATAGTTCAATAGCCTGTTGGTCAGTAATGACAGTAATACAAGTTTAAAATTATTACTTACCTACCTGGAAATTAGCTCAAAAGAATGCACCTCAAAAGTGCCACAGTTGTACGAGTTTTCAAAAATCCAAGTTAAAAACAAAAGCACGCACAATCAAATCACTTTAAAACACCAACTAATACGTCTGAACAAGTCGACGCATGTCTCTTGTGAACGTTGTAGTACGCTAGCGCCGCGGCTTAGGCAAGATGCGAACTAATAGAATTTGACCGATTTTGACCTGGTCAAAATCTCTTTGGTCAAAATCGGTCAAAATCTTGGTCAATTGACCGCGGTCAATTGACCAGGCACAACCCTAGTTTTAGGCAATCAAAATTGTCTTGATTTTTGTTGGCAATCATTTTATTTATTCAAAGCTTAAAAATTCCTACGATTGAAAATTTATATTTTTATTGGTGGATTCTAAGCAGATGTTCAATAAATGCGTCTTGTTTTCCAATTTATCAAAATTAACGAAGCTATAGACAGTTAATTTAAGACGGGGTTAAAGGTGATTTTTGTTAACGAGTTAAGTAATGTTATTTTTAACGCCTATGTTACTAGATGATCACAAAACACACAGTTCAGCTGATCATAAATAGGAATAGTAGAATTCGTTAGAAATCGGCAAAATCCGGAAGTGAAGATGAATGCTAAATTACGCACATCTTCTAGGACCGTTATTTTTGACCCTTTGCCTTCAATTGCTTTTGAGAGAAAGCGGTCATTTCGGCCTATGAGGAACCTGAAGAAATGGGAACAATATCTTAGTGAGTATTTAGTAGCTTTTTTGTAGCACTGAATACGTAACTTTTAGTACCTACCTATTTTGCACCTTAAGTTGACAACATTGCGGGGTTTTATTAAACCGACTTGACGTTCATAATGCATAAAAATAATCTCAAAGTATCACCAACAACAAAATATTTTCTCGGTTCGTGATGTTAATTAAAATAAACTACCACATATAGACTAAATAATAATGGTTTATAAAATAAGTAATCATTTTTAACTGATTAGTCATACATTTTGTGCAGAGATGAACTAGATATGAAAATATGCTATAAAACAACACATCCTTTCTAGGACTCCTAATCCTAATTCCACAATCACAAGTAATTAATCACTCATTTAAAAGTGATTACCTAGAATCAATACAAAACCATAAACCAATAATAATTGTGAATATACATTCAAAATGCACTGAGTACGGTCCCGTGCAATAAATTTAAATTCTTGCAAAACGATAACAAATTTCCTGGCTTAAATAATATTTCAGCAAACTTTCTTAAACTCTCGCACGAATTTTTTAATCGTTCCGCATAGTATCTGTCACCTCAGTTTGCAGAATAAATATTCATTTCAGTTGTAACTTTCTTAGTAATCCAATCTTTGTGTGCAGTGATAATAAATATTATTATTTATGCAAGTGGTCGGTGATGACATAAAAAAAATTGAAATAATGAGCTCATTATCCATCTATGAGGAATTTATTGAATTTGGTATATAATTTTTTAAATTTTCGCACAATTTAGCCAAAATTTGTCAGATCCTTGTTTCCTTATCATGTTGCTTTTTTTTCAGATGCCCTATTGGCAGATTTACAAAACACAGTCACAGGAGGTCAGAATCACGGTGGATATGGTTCCTTGAACGCGCCTAGAGGCAGACAAGCTCCAGTTACCGAAATTTCAGTTGCAAAGGCACAAAATGCCAACGTGGTAAGTGGAAATTATTCAAGTTATTTCAGGTTTTGGGTCTTTATTATTTAAAATTGAATGTTCTAACTGAGTTGCGAGGTAATTTGGTATTTTTAGTAATATTCTCTTATCATTGAATCACCATTGTTAATTGTTATTGATCAGGTACAGCTAATAGATAGAAAATTCTCATTTTAGACTAGTTAAAAAAAAGTTTATAAATTAATGTAGGTAACATACTGAAGTCAGCTGAGTTTCAGAGTTCCAGAGTGGCAGCTACGCTTCAACTGCTCTTGTAGGCTTATTGTGGAAAAATTAATAATTCGAAGTGATTTTAACAATAAAATTTCAGTTTTGGTTCTAGAACCATTAAGTTTTGATCACCATTAGTAGCAAATTATATGAATAAATACTTGCCTGATCAAATATTTTGAACGGTTCTAGAACTGGTTCTATTTGAAACTACCATGAGCATGAAAACCATCATCGTCCACAATCCAAAAATACTCTATTTGGAATAAACTTAGAAACTACACGATCTTATATAGGAAACCACTCAACATGAAAAACTCTAGAATTTTAGTAATTTCTTGTTCATAGCACATACAATGGAAAAAAATTCCTGAATGTTCCCGGTCGTGTACAGGGTGTTCCAAATTCGAGCCACATCATTGGGATCTCGGAAACGGTGAGAGAGAGGTTGGTTAAATTGGGGCAAAGTTGCGTAATTTGATGCTTAACAAAATGCCGCTCTGATATCTAGGATATTCCGAATACTTCCGGAAAAAATCGAAATTTTGCAAATACACTTAATTTTAAATATAGTCCCATTGCAAAGTGAATATTCCCTTGCCTTCTCTAATTTTCAAATAGAACACCGAAAAAATCACAATATTAGTGGACTTGTTATTTGATTTCACAACCAGAAATAAAGTCACTATTCTGGCCATGGAAACGAATACTATGAAGCTTCAAGATAGAATCCCCGCCCGACTCTAAAATAAAAGAAAAACCAACGTAACAGAAGGGGTATGCAGATCGAAATTTAATATAATTTCTTTATCAACTGGCCTTAAGTACCCACTTTTAGTACAGGATTATGCAATATTATTACCCAATAGAATTAGTAAACCAAAAATACATAATTAATTTTATTCTTACTTAATAGTATCTATAAATGCAATTAAAAATAAAATACAAATAACACTTCACAAAATGCACCTTATAATCTATAAACAATCCAGAAGGAAGAAATATAAAAAAGTTCATCATTACGTACTGTTTGTTTCTCGAGGAATTGTACTTACGTCATCATTTGCCTTACTTTTTTAACAAATAAAAAATGACAAACAAATTAATGACGCCAAAAACGTTCGTCGGATCTTATGGTTGGATACGTTTTAAATGACCTAAAAAACTACTAAAGCTGCGAAATTTTCAGAATATGATTTAGCCAGTCTTGCCACACGTGGCAGGAATGAATTAAATCCAATATTAGTTCGCCTGAAGGGCTGAACAAATATGTTAGATGATCTAGTATTTTTAGATAGAACTGAGAGTAATATAGACGAATTTAAAATAGGAGAGTCAACAATACAATTTAGAAGTTTTGAAAACAGCTTGATATCTGACTGGACGGTGCAGCAAATCTTTCTTGAAGCAGTTTGAAATCGTAGTTCCAACAATCCTGGGAGGGAATGTTAGATTTCCAAGCCAAATAACTCAGGAACTTTCTTTGAACCTGCTCAATCCTGTGAACATGACATACGTAATGGAGGTTCCAAACTCTGGAAAATATAATAATATGATTAATAAATGATTGTAACTCCAAGGTCACGAATGATTGAAACCTGAGACAGAAGTGAGCCTTTTATGTTATAACTAGCTGACCCGGCGAACTTCATACCGCCTCTGAATTATTAAATACCTATTAAATATTGTGTTAACGTATCTATTAGCTGAATTAAATTCAGTTTTTTTCGATGGTGACTTTGACTTTGGTTGAAGAAAATTAATGTTTACTCTCTGGATCAGAAGTCACCTAAAATTAAAATTTTATATCATTATTTTTTTAGGCAGCTTGTGAGCATTATTCTTGTAAAGTGTACCACCAAATAAATAAACTCAGGCATAGGAATTTTCAAAGAATGTAAAGAAAACAAAAAAATCTCCAGCGCAGCCCTGTTTCACTCTATCTGCCCTGCATGCACTGCACTAATCCATCTGTTCTACTGTATCTGCACTACTCTATCTGATCTACTTTTTCTGCACCACTCTATCTGATCGGAATAGTGGAATAGTTCTGTTCGGAATAGCTCCAGTTCCTGAGCAGCATTGTTCTACTGTATCTGCAATGAAATTATCGCGCAACGGCGAGCTTCGTTCTAGGTATCAGAGATGGCGCCGTACACAAAATGGTTTGCAATAAATATGTGGCGGTAAACTTGGTATCGGTTATAAGAGATGGCGCCGTATGCGGGCTTAGTGATTTTTTTTCATAAATAAGTAAAATAAGTAATTTTGTTTTTTGTTTTTTTTTTTTTTTTTTGATTTTTTCGATTTATTATGTTAGTAGGGACAAAGACAAATTTAATAAAGCAAAAATTCTAAAAATCAGTCCAGCCGTTCTCGAGTTATAAGTGCTAGGCTAGAACCAACACAACTGTGTTTTATATAAACCAGTCAAAACGAAATAAGGATCACTTTTGAAAACCCATTTATTTTTAATGAATTTTGAATAACCCTGGTAAAGTGTTTATTTCCATTTACAATATAATTTTTTTGTGCACACTTTATTTGTTTATCTATACTTATTGTAAATGGAAATAGTCACTTTACCAGGGTTATTCAAAATTCAATGAAAACCTTCTCTTAAAAGTGGTCCTTATTTCGTTTTGAGTAGTATATATAGATTAAACACAATTTTGTTGCGGTTTTATTTAAAACAAACACTTTGCAATGTTTAAATCCATCACGTTAAGGTCACACCATTCAACAAGTCTGTCCAAATCTGATTGGAGCTTAAGGCAGTTCTCTAAGGCATAGACGGCAGAATCACATTTCAGACCATCCTCAAAATACAGAAATTTAAGAAAATTTTTTGGACACGAAATTATATAATTTGACAACTTGATATCTATCTGAGAGGTAGCTCGCTACCTACTCCAACAAGGTTCCCTGAAGACCAGTTGCCTTAAGTTTATCAAGCAGGATCCCATGATTCAGCCTGTCAAACGCCTTGGAAAAGTAAGCGAAGCCAGCATGAACTTCCCCATCGACACGACGAAGTCAACAAAGGTAATTAAATTCAACTCCGTTAATCTCTCATTAAAAAATCCAAATTGCTCATCCATGATTGTTGACCTCAAAGAAGATCCTAAAAAGTCGGCAACCATATTTTGGAAGAGTTTGGGAATACAACTGAGGTTACATATAGGCATGTAGTAACACAGATATCTGCTTTATTTCCAGTTTTAAATATAGGTTTAACATAAAATCTGTTTTTTTTTTAAAGATAAAAGTCAAAATGACATTATGTTGGCAATCTATATGTATATATAAAAATGAATGCCACTTTTCGTTGTAATTTTATAACTCAAGAACGGGCTCACCTAGCCAAACCAAATGTTTAGGCTTTGTTCGGACTATTTATTAGATGGTTTATGTGAAGTTTGCACAAAATCGGTCGAGCGGTTCTTCATTTATCACATTTTTTGTAATAAATGAATTATTCAATAAATGGAGGATCATTTTGTTAATGGGGATTTTGCTGTCAAATTGAAGCTTTTTTCAGCGTTGACAGTACCAGCATGTTGTTATGTCATTAGAATGTGGTCATTTCATTACTTATTTTATTTATTCATGAAAAAAATTTACTAAGCCCGCATACGGCGCCATCTCTTATAACCGATACCAAGTTTATTTTGTATTTTGTATTTTGTATACCGCGCCATCTCTGATACCTGGAACGAAGCTCGGCATTGCAGATACAGTAGAACAATGCTGCTCAGGAACTGGAGCTATTTTGAACAGAACTATTCCACTATTCCGATCAGATAGAGTAGTGCAGATAGAGTAGAACAGATGGAGTAGTGCAGTGCATGCAGTGCAGATAGAGTGAAACAGGGCTGCGCTAGAGATTTTTTTTGTTCTTTACATTCTTTGAACATTCCTGTGCCTGAGTTTATTTATTTGGTGGTACACTTTACAAGAATAATGCCCACAAGCTGCCTAACAAAGGATGATGTAAAATTTTAATTTTAGGTGACTTCTGATCGAAAGAGTAAACATTAATTTTCTTCAACCAAAGCCAAATTCACCATCGAAAAAAACTGAATTTAATTCAGCTAATAGATACGTTAACACAACATTTAATAGGTATATTTAATAATTCAGAGGCGGTACGAAGTTCGCCAGGTCAGCTAGTACAATGTAAAATTATCAATTTTTCAAATTTTTCATGTAGAAAAGGCTTGTGTTGCCAACAAAGTTACTAAATTTTTGACTTGGGGAATTATCTTTAAAAAAAAAACAGACTTTAGATCACTTTCCAGAAGTCAGTAAATACACCTGGGAAAAGCGATTTATTGGAAATAATAAAAAGCGGATGGGAGAGTACAAAACGGCAAGCCTTTAAAATCAATGCGCCTCTGTTCATGTAAATCTTAGTAATTTCCTCATAAATAATCGATATGGATATTGAAAAGTCTGAATCACAAATATGATTAAATGATGGAATTGGAATATCCCGACGTGTAATGTGTAACATTTTTCATGGTATATACCAATTTTAAATATTCGGCAAAAAGATCACGCAGATCAGGTTCAAGTTTACAATGACCATTTTTAAAAAAGATCTAGGATGGTAGCTCGTTTCGACTTTTTTTACTTTGAACAAAATTCCAGAATTCTTTAATATTTCGGTTTTAAGCTAGATTTGGATTTTTCTACATATCCTAGGTAGCAAAGTCGAGTTAAGTTTTTACATTCAGATCTAAGCCTGTTAAATAATCTATCCTTGA